CATCATCCCTCTCCCACTCATAGCACTTGGAAAAGACCAGGGCCCCCACGTTAGAAATGGGGTAATCCAAGAAATAAAGAGTAAATACACTGGCCTATCCTGTCCTTTCCTCGTTCACTACTTTCTTTCCTGTGGAGTCAGATACAACTCCAAGCCAGGCAGACCAATGCTCACTATGGGTCAGGTCCTGTTCCAAGCACTTTATATGTGTTATCTCAGATACTGGTATTCCCTTGGATTGCACCTTCAGTTTATTCCCTAAGTACTCTAGTTTACATCCTCTCCTTGGATGACTTCATCTAAGTCATCTCCTCCCCTGAAATTTATATCCATATATCTATGGAACGGTTTACCTACTTGGGTGTCCCACTGACCACAAATTCAGCCTGTCCAAAACGGAACTAATTATTTTCCCCCATCCAAACATGCTTTTCCTTCTGTATTCCCTCATTAAGTCAGAAACCTATATATCAATTTTCCTTCCCCCATCCTCTCACTCCTATCTAACAGTCACCAAAGTTCTATCAGTTCTACCTCTTGGATAGCTGAACCCACACCATGTCCCACCTAACTCTAGTGGCCTTGGACCCTGCTTAACAGTTTCTAGTCTCATCCCCTCCAATTCATTCTCCATGTTGCTGTCAGCTTGACGTTTGTAAAAGTACCTGTAATTTGTCACTTCCCTGTGTTCCCTTCAACAGCTTGTGAATGTCTGAAAGACATTCTTATCAGGGCATACATGACTCTTCATCATCCAGCCTCAACTTTTCTAACTGCTCTCCTCATCTCCTTAGCATGAAACTCCGGCAATACTGTGCTCCTTTTTGTTCCTCAAACACTCTGCTTCATAACCCAGTGCTTTAGTCTAAGCTGTTCCCTGTACCTTGAATGTCTCTTCCTCTTTCTTCTGTCAGGTAAAATTCTATCACTTGCTAATTATTATGCATGGAAACGTTAAAGAGTTAATTACTTGTTCATTAGCAACGAGGCAGGTAAATCATCAGAATGAGGGTGAGTTTATCAGATGGACAGTCAGTCTGTTAAAGTGAAATAATGCAAGCGATGACAGGTAAAGACACTATACCCTGAGCAGGGAATAAAGTAACAGAGTTGTGTCTAAGTGACAGTGTGAGGAATGTGCAGTGATTGCTTCAGCTCTCAGGACCAAGTGGAACCGAGGGAGAAATCCTACAGAAACAGTCCTGGAACTCTTCTCTCATTACTACCAAAATGCAAAGTATTGACAGAGCAGGACTTTAGTGAAGGAAATGTCACCTTCACGCCTTTCCTCCTAGGCTTGAAAAGAATAGAAACCTCTCTTCTCACATACTAAGTAGGATGAAAAGGCTGGGCCAGGCTGACCCCTGGTGGAAGGAATGAGCTATTGCATGCAAGAATCAGCACAAAACTCCCTTTTTAAAAATTTTAAATTATTTTTAAAATATTTATTTATTTGGCTGCATTGGGTCTTAGCTGCGGCATGCAGGATCTTAGTTGCGGCCTGCGGAATCTTTCGTTGTGGCACGTGGGCTCTCTAGCTGTGGCACACGGGCTTAGTTGCCGCATGGCACGTGGGATTTTAGTTCCTTGACCAAGGATTACTCCCGTGTCCCCTGCATTGGAAGGCGGATTCTTAACCCCTGGACTACCAGGGAAATCCCAAAACTGCCTTTTCACTCATTCATTTATTCATTCAAACAGAGTGGACTTCCATGGTGGCGCAGTGGTTAAGAATCTACCTGCCGAAGCAGGGGACACGGGTTCGAGCCCTGGTCCGGTAAGATCCCACAGGCCGCGAAGCCTGCTCGGCAACCAGAGAAGCCACTGCAAAGAGAAGCCCGCGCACCGCAACGAAGAATAGCCCCCACTCACCACAACTAGAGAATGCCCAAGCGTGCAGCAACAAAGACCCAACGCAGCCCAAAATAAATAATTAAAAAGGAAAAAAAAAATTCACAACCTAATGAGGTAGGTAGCTACCTCTTTAAATGTTCCCGCAGCAGCACTGGGGAGAAGGTAAGACCAGTTAGAAAGCCAGTGCAGCAGTCCAGGGGGAAAATAATGTGATAGGGATTTAATAACAATCAGATACGTGAAGTGAGGGAAACAAAGAAGTGAAGGGCTTCCAGGTTTCTGGCCTGGGCAAAGGGCTGGTTGTGGGTTGCAGTTCACCAGTCTGTGTAGAAAAACAAAATTAGCTTTAGACATGTTAAATTTGAGGTGACTGGGGGACATTCAGGTAGAAATGTCCAATAAGCTTTTGGATATACAGATCTGGAACTCAGGAGAGAAATATGGAGTAGAGATTTTGAGAGTTCTCCAATAGGTGATAGTGGATTCTGCCTTCGGGGAGAAGGCATTAGATGAAATCTTGAGCAAACTCGGGTTCCCCCACCTGAGAAAACCAAATATTGAGTTAAACCTTCCATTGCCAGTCCTGAAAACACAAAACCAACACTTATTTATTAGAACAACTGCCACTTACCCAGTGATTGCTATTTGTCAAGATGTATCCTAGGTAATTCTCTCGTTTAATTTTTACTACGGTCTGACGTCCAGACATTTTTGTTTTACAAATAAGAACATTAAGTCTCACCGAAGTTAAGTGATTTGCCCAGCCACACAGAGGAGCCGGGTTCGAATAATACAATTATTGTTTAATTCTGAAATCTATACCTTTAACCATCTTGTTACACCATCTTTCTAAACGTCCTATTTCGTTAAAACGTGAACAGCACTCCTCTCCGCGGAAAAATTGAATAAACTGTTCCGGATGCAACCAGAACAGAATTCACTAAAATGGCGGCTCCCTGAGGGGCGCTGGCTCTCTTACGTCATCACACTGCGCTGCTGCCTCTCGCGCACAAAGTGCCAGGGGAGCAGGCGGGCAGATGGAGGGGTCTCAGCCAGTGCGGAGGAGGGCGGGGCGGGGGGCGTGCCCTGTTCATCCGTGGCGTAAGATGGCGCTGCCCTTTGGTCGGTCGCTGTGCCTGAGCCGCTGGGGAGCCAAACGATTGGGGGTTGCCGCCGTAGATGCCCGCAGAGGTAGGATTATATCATTTTACTCTCTTTTACTTCCAATATAGTTTCCGTCTGTTACTCCTGGAGCCCACTCGGAGAAACAACTCCAGCCCCTTCGACTCATTCCCCCTCCCCCACCGAGTTGGTCTTGAGATTTCAAACCTGGGACACTCTCTGGTTTCTTTAAATTCCAGGGCTTCCCCAGTCCGAGCTTTTCGGATCCTTGGGCTGCCCATACTAAAGCGCCCCCACTCTCTTAACCCGCTTGACGTTCCGACTCTTCCGTGTTTTCTCATGATCTCTTGACTGCCTGTTTCAGATCGGAATATGTACGTCACTGGTTCTAGAGTTCTAGCGCACGTCATTATCCAGTCTCTTTGCTCTGCCCGCAGGCGTCAGTTTCAAACTGGAAGAAAAGACCGCTCACAGCAGCCTGGCACTCTTCAAAGGTGACACAGGTGTCAAATACGGCATGGTGGGATTGGAGCCCACAAAATTGGCCCTGAATGTGGAGCGCTTCCGGGAGTGGGCAGTGGTGCTGGCAGACACAGCGGTTACCAGTGGCAGGCACTACTGGGAGGTGACAGTGAAGCGCTCCCAGCAATTCCGGATAGGAGTGGCAGACGTGGATATTTCCCGGGATAGCTGCATCGGTGTTGACGATCGTTCCTGGGTGTTCATCTATGCTCAGCGCAAGTGGCACACCATGTTGGCCAACGAGAAAGCCCCTATTGAGGGCATTGGGCAGCCAGAGAAGGTGGGGCTGCTGCTGGAGTATGAGGCCCAGAAGCTGAGTCTGGTGGATGTGAGCCGGGTTGCTGTGGTCCACACACTACAGACAGATTTCCGGGGTCCAGTGGTGCCTGCTTTTGCCCTTTGGGATGGAGAGCTGCTGACCCATTCAGGGCTTGAGGTGCCTGAAGGCCTCTAGTATGTCCATCACTGGAGTCCCTAATCACGCTCTTGGCCAGCCTCCTGATCCAAGTGTCTGAAACCTTTTAACTGTGCCCCAAGCAACTGCTAGCTCCCACAATTCAGTGATGGGTCCTCTGTGCAATATCTGTCAGCTTCCTCTCCCCTACCTTGTGAGAGCTAGGCATACAGTTACCCTCTCCCCTCCCCCAGACTATTGCCAATTTCCTAGGCTACCATGAATGTACTTTCTCTGACTTGCTTCCTTCAGTCTCTCTGCCTCCCTGTGCCCAGGACTTCCTCAGACTGTATTCAGTCCTAGGGTCTTACTTTTCAGCTTTGTTTGAATTTATTCATCACTGTGCTACTTCTTCTTCCCTTTGCCCACATGTAACCTGTTTGTTTTGGGGGCTCTACCGAATCTCTCCAGAGTAAATCCTTTCTACCTCTGGCTGGAGGAGTGGTGCAGTGAATGACTTTGCCCTTTCTGTACAGCACATACAGAATTTGGGCTCTGGCTCCCTCAGGTAGTGCTTTATTGACTGTGTCAGAATGAGAATAGAGCCCTCCTTGCCTAATACCTCAGTGTTACAGACTCTCAGCCCCAGACAGCTGCAGCTCTCCTCACCCTGAGTCCATCTGCCTTAATTTGCACACCTCTGACACTTGGTCAATCTGTTGCAATCATTGGACCAGTTACAACCATGACCAAAGGGGAAGAGACATGTGGGGATTAGTACTAGAAACTTTATTCTTGAGAAGTTCCATCTTCATTTCTGCTATAGTTGTATAAGTTCCAGAGGAAGGAGGGAGGCCTGAAGTCTTGCACAATCCATTTTGGGGCCTGTTCAGACCCAAGCACTTGTCCCCACTTGGAGCAGAATACACTTAACCTAAAGCAGGATTTGGGATTGAAGAAAACCTAGTGGGGTGAGTATATATGTGAAATATGGATTCTTTGGGCTCTGTATGACCCTGTGGTTCCATCTTACTCTACCTTTATGATGGTGATGCAGCTGGATGGCCCTAGGGGAGAAAGAGAAGGACTGGGCCTAGCAAAAATAATAATTTGTGTAATTAAAGTTTATTTGAGCACAGAATACTTTCTCTGTCTATAAAATTGCTGTTAGCAGTAGCAGCACTTCCTGGCCAAGGGGGGCAGATCTCTCCAGACGACTAAAGCCTGGTGCATAGCTCCTCTCTTTCTCTGTGGATATATACATGTGCGTGGTGGCTAGAGCCCCTTACCAGAGTATCTCTCTCTCATAATGGCTTCTTCAGAGAGAGGAAGATGGGACCTGCGTGAAGACCTGGGATGATCTGGAGTGGGCTAAGCCATTAGGCTGTCCCTTAAAGAAGCCCACAATCTTCATGGATAACTCTACTGCAGGAGTCCACAAAGGCACTTCTCTATACTCTGTCTGCCAAGGGAATGAGGTATTTTGACTCTCACTGAAAGCACTGCCCACCCCCGCCACCACTGAAGCAGTGTGGCCCTCTGTAGCATGTTTGGTGGTTGTATGTTAAGTGTGTGGCCAGCTCGTGCTTCTCTCATGCAGGGACTGTGCATGCCCCGTGCTCACACCATGCTCTCTAAGTTCTCTTTGGACAGGGCCTCAGCTGTTGCTTCAGCCTGAGTCTCAGATGGTGTGTATGAGTCCTGGTAATCTTGGAGCAGTTTAACCACCTCCAGGTGGTTGAACTGCACAGCATCATCCAGGGGGATGTTGCCCCACCTGAAAGGAGGAACAAAGACCATGATCAGGCAAAGAAGACATCAAGAGTGCCCTGGTTATATACATAACTGTGGTGGCTGGAGGGCCGTGGTGGAGAAGCTGCTGCCCACCTCCCTTCCCCCCACTTTCAGCTTAATCCTACTCACCTGTCCTTGACAAAAGGATTCACTTTGCAAGCCTCAATAAGGAATTTAACAACTTCAGTGTGTCCTAGGAATATGGGCAGAAGGAAAATGAGAGGGTATAGATCCTGACCCTTTTGGTGTTAACATTAGTACAGACCCTTGGCAGCTGGAGTCTGAACTAAAAGGGGAGGGGGGAAAGGCCTCTTCCCATTTTTGCTCCCTGCAGCACCCAATAAGAGCCTGCAAACTGAAGCACATCTGGACAAAACTAGTTGCTGCCCTTGTAACCTTGAGGGCACATACAATGGGGGGTACTCTTGGTAGAAAAGGAAGGTCTTAGGATCTGCTTCCTCTCTTATTTAACCTTCAGATACCTTCAGCTGCAGCAACATGCAGGGCTGTGCGGGAGTCATAGTCTTTCTGTTCCATGTCCATGGCTGACAAGGCAAACCTGAGAGGAGTGGAAAGTAGCTGGAGTTACCCAGATCAGCCTAGAATCACTGGTATCCTTTCTGAAGTGGGGTCAGACTGGATGAGTTCCAGAAAAAGCAAAACAGAGCTTTTATACCAAGATCTGTAGACTGTGTACGGTCTGTGTTCTCTATCCAGATGAGACTCTTACTCCTACGTCAGAGAGATGGGAGTGTGATGGTTCCAGAAACATCACTGCCTACCTGTAGTAGGTGCCCAGTACATATTTGTTGATGCTGGTAATCCATTTGAGGCAGGGTCCTTACCAGCCTCCTAGGACTCTGCTTTTAACACCCAGGTTAATCATAACAGTGGCTACCATTAATTAAGTTCTTATCACATCGCAGTCACTGTACTTTTAAAAAAAACTCATTTAAATGTAGTCTCTGACCATTCAGTCTGACTCTAAGGCTGAAGCACTTAACTATATTGCTATGTTGACGGCTAATGAGGTCTCTGACCAGGAGTATTTTATTGTGTTTATTTGGTCAGAGTAGAAGTACCTTCGAAGAGCTGAGACATCTCCACTATAGGCAGCAAATAACAGGTTCACCACAGTCTTGTTCTGGAAAACAAATCATACCCACCTGAGATTAACTGTGACTTTGAACCCACCCATGCCCAGCTCTACCCTGTCGCCCTCCCCCATGGATGCTTAGCCAAGGGTTTTACTGAAGTGTTATGGAATATTCTCTTCTGAAATTGTCTTACAAGCCACCTGGGGTTTTCCTTACCCGAACTTCTCCTCCTTCACGCCGTGGGTCTAATTTCCGAGCGCAGTGCCTCAGGTTGTCATAGTTGTGGAAATTGAAGAGAGATACCAACTTCTAGAATTGTAAGGCAAAAAGATTGTTTACTTCCTCCCTGCACTTAGGAGCTCAAAATTGCTTTATTTTCTCATTCAAAAATATTAAGTACTATATGCAAAGTGACTTACTTGGCAGAAGCTGACACCCCTATAGCTGTTCCCCAGCTTGTCCAGGGGAGGTGATAGACACATCATTCCCATGATATTGGGCACCACCAGGAGGATGGCTCCTGATACAGCTGACTTGGCTGGCAGGCCCACCTTGGGGACAAAGTTGGAACTGCGGATGAGCAAGAGGTGCCCCAAGTCTGTGTTAACAAGTTAGTCTATCCCAAATGACTTCATGGGCAAGGCCACACCCATCTCAACCTTTTGGCTTGTTAATTAGCTTTTCTTACTCCTGTCCTCCCCTGCCCCCTCTTAAATTTATGGCTTCAGTAAGGAAATATTTACTGAGTATCTACTCTGTGCCTGATGATGTGCTAGGACTAGGACAAGGTCTCTCAGTTAACTTACATTCTGGTGGTAGGACAGAGACAATAAATAGGTAAACAAACAAATAGACAAAAATAATCACAACTTATAACACGTTAGAAAAAAAGGAGGGTGCTGTGATAGAGAATGATGTGGGAGGGAGAGCCCAGTGGAGAGAGGGTGGTCAGAAAAGCCTCTCTTTGGAAGTGACATCCTGTATGAGACCTGGATGAGAATCACCAGCCATGTGCGGGGCGGCAGAGGAGTGGTTCTGAAGTTGCACTGTCATGTGTTTATGTGCTTGAGGGACTTACTGTGTTTGACAAACTCCCCTAAGGATTCTTGGCCTAATTGCCTGGCTAGAAGTTAGTGAGTGAGAGGCAGGAACAGGTGTCCACCTCTCCACCTTCAGAGACTCGGTGTCCCCTTTTCTTGGCTCTGGGCTCATGGCAAATGGATGGCAGGGCCAGAAGCACTTACATGGAAAGCAAACTGGCCCGAGAGGTCATACATGCCGCAGGAGTGCATGAGGCTGAGGGTGTTGCGCACTGCTTCAGCACTCAGCACGCTCTCGCCTGTGATGGGGCAGATCCCGCCATTGGCCAGGGTGGCTGCCATGACACTGCCTGATTCACAGGTCACCTCCACGGAGCACAGCTGCGGAGACAAGGCAGAGGTGAGGGTCCGGTGTGGACCTGAATGCTGTGCTCTGAGGTGTAGAGCAATGTTCTTGACATCCTGATCCTTCAGTAAGTTCCCCTGGTGTTTCTGAAGGATGCCAGAACCACTGGAGATGAGTATCCCTCTTGTGGGTCAGAGCAAGGAAGGCAGTGTGTCCCGTTCCCTTGGTGCTGGGTTGAATGGTGGCATCTGCTTACCTGGAAGTAGAGATCCAGGGCAGCCATCATGTCCACCCCTTTAGGAAAGCACTGCAAGGAAGAAGAGGGGAGAGCGTTTCTCTCAGGCCATCAGCAGTCCCTGTCACACTGCCAGGACCTCAGCCGAAGTTCCCAGCCCCCATTGCCCTTCCACCAGCCACAGAATTCCCAGGGACTTTGTACCGGCCTCTCCCAGTTACCTTCTTTTCCTTTAGATAATAGCCGATGGCATAATTCCGATCCCCCGTTTCCTTCTCTGACTGGAATCTGAAGCAAACACCCAATTTAGTACTTGACATTTGAGGGATGGGTGTGAGGAGAAGGGGGAAAAATACCTTCCCTGAGAGAGACAGAACTAGATCACACATGTCAAACTAAATCAGCCCCTTTATTAATTCTCACACTTACACTGGAGAAAACTTCTGAACCTGAGAAAGCACTGGGTCCAGCTTTATTGTAAGGTGTGAAAAACCAAACCAAACCCAAAATGATCTAGTCATCTAGTCTAGGAAAATGAGGTTTTTGGCTTTGAGAGACTTGGCAAGAGAGGGCCCAGGTGCAAACTCTCACACTGTCTTTCTCATTAAGTACCAAACAGAAATGGAACAAATCCTTTTACAAAGCAAACAAATGTCCATGAAGGGGCTCAGAGGAAGCTGAAAGGCCAAGGTTCCCCTGGGACTTCTTCCTAAGATTCTATCCTCCTCCTCCATCATCTGCCCCCCCCACATACGTATACACACACACACACACACACACACACACACACACACACACACACACACACACACACATCCCCACACACATTCAGCCAATCCTGTGAACGGGGCCTTACGTGGCATTGCTGAAACCCATGTATTCATTCCCAGCCATTTTATTCAGATACTGCAAGACCTGGAAGAGAAAAAGGGGCATGGGAGGCACCCCATGCGTAAAGACCCCTAGTAAACACATAGGCTGATTAACCCTTCTGCACTCCTCAGTCCTTATCCCAGAAGGGACTTCAGGAGGCTTTCTTCCCTCACGCCAGCAGATTCCTACATCTCTGGAAATAAGGCTTCTAGTATGGGCTGGTGCACCATCAAAGTGGGGTTAGAGCCAGGCACTGGGGCAGTTGGAATGGACAACATGCCATGGAGAAAAGCAGCCAGGGGCTGAGCAGTGAGGGAACTTACAAAATCAAACTTCTCTGCTTTGTTACAGTCCATCTGCAAGGAGACAAAAAGAGATATCAGTATTCTAAGCCTAGGAGGATGACAGGGAGGGTCAGAAGGATGTAGTGGAGATAAAGTGTGAGACCGGTTTTGCTACTGGGTGTGTGTTGCATTTTACAATTTTTTTTTTTTTAACAACTGAGACTTTTTAATATCCATGCATACCTAGTGATCTTAAAAACCATTTAGATTTTATTATCAGGTAATGAGTACAGATAAGCTCACCCCAGCTATGAGTCTCACCCATCCCTGAGTCTCACTCTCATTTCCATTCTCAATGCCAACCCTCATCCCTGACTCCCACTTTCATTTTCCTGATTCCAATCCTGTTCCCAAGCCCCACCCCTATTCCTGGTCCCCATCCTCATTCCTTACACCCCAGGCTGGAGGCTTCCTCTATCCTACCCCTGATTCCCATGGCCATTTCCAAGACTGGAGTGAGTGATGGGAATGGGAGGACGGTGTGTGTTGCATACATTATAATATTCAATTATATCAATTATATTGATAACTGAAATAAAGCTAAAGATTTTAGCTAAGAGTCAAGTCAGTAGGGCCTGTTTAGATGGGAATGGGATGAGGCAGGCCCCAGATACAGGGCTGTAGATAGAGCTATCCCGGAGCAAGGGGAGATCCTGAGCCTGGTCCATCCCCCTCCCCCCACCCCACAATAGCTTCCTGTACTCGTCAGCTATAGTGTCAACACCACAGGGACTCTGACACTTGGGTCCCTGGGAGGAGGGTTCCTAACACCACCTTCCCCAGGAAGGGCTGTGATTGGCTCTGGATTGTTGCTGCCCACACTGCTCTCAGGTTCTTGCTCAAGCCCTGGGAGACCTACAGCTGACAGGCTGGCCAGACACCCTTGCTCAAGGCCAACTCACAGCTCCAGGTGACGTGAATAGCTGCCCTGTTCTGGCCATTCACCCTTCTTTCCATGTGTCCCTCACCCACAAGTGGCCAATCAGTACCTAACAGAGCTGTCCTCCCCCTGTGTGTGGCATTTGGTCCTTGGTGCTAGGCTGGGGTCAGGACCTGCTCACTTCCCTCAGAGCCAGGAAGCTCTGGGCTCCAGACTCATGGGTAGGAGCTGGGATACAGTTCCATTTACTAACATCCTCAGCATAATTTGTGAGTCCCTGCTGTGTCTTCACTGCCTCCTGGGCACCCTCAAAGGAATCAAGTCCCCACCAATCTCCCTGGAGAGACAGGCAGATACGAGGGATATAGGAACAAGGGGGTTTAGAGAACAGTACCTTCCAGAAGGCTAGGGTGGCACTGACCTTGATCAGGGAGCTCACAACAATGGCACCAGCATTGACCATGGGGTTATGGGGGATTCCTGGGGAAATACAAACCACCCAGAGTCTTACCAGCCACTGAGCAAAACCTTTACCGCCTGCCCACTCTGTAGGGTAAAGGGGAAAGATCTCTTTGCTGGGGAGGATGGAGTGACAGAGCTGATCAGGAAGGGCAGAGAAACACACACCCTTGGGAGGAGGGTAGGGTAAGAAGGGGGCATCTGTGAGTCTGGTCTGAGCCCAGGGAGTGCTCACCTTCCTCATTGAGGGAGAGCTTGTTGTAGCGCAGGCCGCTGGGCTCCTTGCCCACGAACTTGTGCACGTAGTCAGTGCCTAGGGTGCTTATGGAGATGGCATAGGTGAGGGGCTTCACACAGGACTGCAGGCAGAAGGGGATCTTTGTGTGGCCCACGGAGTGCCTGGAGGCAAGCAGGTGCCATGAAAGGGGTCGGACTATGCTCTGCCCGTGTGCCCTGCCTCCCCTTCCTCACCCAGCATCTCACCGCTGACCATCCACAGTGCACAGGGAGACGCCCCACAGATCTGGATTTGACTTGGCCAGCTGAGGGATGTAGGCCGCCACCTGGGTATGAGTGGGTAGAGAAAACAGAGACAGGATGAAGACATGGATGTGGAGAGGGGGAACAGAGCTGAGGTTCAGGTCAGGAGAATCTTTTAGATAAAAGCTAAAATTCTGTCTTCTGCAAGACAACAGGGTTCCCTCCTGCCTGTTGTTCCTAGAGACACCCAAGCCTTAAGTCCTAGAAGGCCTTATATTTCTGCAGCCCCACTCCTATAGAGACGGCAGTAAAGCCCATGGGAGGTATAAAGAGAATTCTGGGGTCAGCTTCCCTTTTCTGCTCTTAGGCTTAATTACCCTGTAGGTTTCTTTCAAAGTTCTATTGGATCCTTGTCAGCTGTCTCCATAAAAACTTCAGATTCCCTCACCTGCTCTAGAAATCACAGGTAAAATACATAAAGCCCTTGTCCCCATTTTTAGAGGTTCTGCTTCTCATCACTCATCCACTGGATTCCCAGCCCCAGGAAATCTCTGAGAAGCAAGGTATATCTGGTCCAGAGCCCTTGCCCATCCCTCAGTCCCCTGGCGCTCACTTTGCCTCCAGTGAGCTCTTTGGCATCCTCAAAGATGCGGTCCACATGGCTCGTGAACTCCTCAAAATCAGGAATGACGAACTTCTTTCGGAATGCCTGGGTCAGGAGCACAATGTTCCTGCTCACACACCTGGATCCCAGACACGATTGGGTTAGGGGGCTGGAGAGATGCAGCTGTGACTCACTCTGGAGCCATGGGAACAAAGAAAGTGTGAGTGGTCATTGGGTTTGGGACCAACAGCTGCGTAACCTTTGGCATTATTACTTGACCTTTCTGGGTCTTAAGTTTCTATGCCTCTAAAATGAGGGGTTGTAATGATATGGAAAGATATTCCAAGACACAGTGTCTTGGGATAGGAGAAAAAATAAATACCTGAATAATAGGTATGGTAGGTCATCTTTATATTTTAAATCTTAAATTATACAAGTATGTTTACATCTATTCCTGTATATGTATGTAAATGCTAAGGACATTATCTAGAAGATATCTACTAATCTGTTAACAACGTTTACTTCTGGGAAAAGGGACAGGGATAGGGGAGAGAGGGAAAGGAGAACATGTATTTCTCTGTTGCTTGAACTTTTACAATAAGTATAGGCATATATATGTGTTACTTGTGTAATAAATAATTAATAAAGTTGAGGGGTTGAATTATCCAATCCCCAGTATCCCCTCCTGCTGTCAAAGTCTGTGTCTAAAGAACTGCTTTGAAAGCAGTGCCCTTGTTTCCGGGGCCCTCACTTTCGGAAGAGATCTCGGTCCAAGAGGCCACCACTGCTGGTCTCTCGAACCATGCGGCGCATCTGGCTCATGCAGTCCCGGAGCCGGGGATCTGACGTCTGCAGTCCAGTGGCCTTCAGTGCCTTCAGGGGAAAGAAGCCTGGTAAGGTCAGCTACAAGGACAATAATCTAATCCTAATCATTTTTCCCAATGGATAACAATTAACTCAACCCCAACTACTACAACAGGTGGAAGAAATGCGTTTGCAGACTAAGAAAGGATGGAATATAACAGTTTTGAAGGCTAATAGGGGTTTCCTGCCCTTTTGCATCAAGGCAGCTGGTTTCTGAACCCCTTGGGACAAAGTCGCAAACCAAAAAGATGGGCTGAGTCAGAGGGTTGAATCATCGCACCTGGGGCAGGGATGGGATTGCCTCATCAGCCTAGGTATCTGCTATCATCAGCTATTCTTCATCCTCATGAAGCAACCCATTAGCCGCCCTGTACTTGTCCTACCTTCCTTTCCCCAGTTTCCAGAGATCCTAAGGGATCAGTGTTCTGAGCAGGTAGAGAGGAACTTACAGTAGTGAACTTGTGGATAGGGATTCGTTCCTGTCCCTCAGCAATGGTGTAGAAGAGCAGGTCACCCAGACGGGACAGCATGCCACTCTCTGACGAATCACTGTTTGGGGGCAGAGACAGGGGAGGAGGACAGGAACCTGAGAACTCCTCCCTGCTCCTCCTCCTAGAACAAGGGCTTATCAGCAGGTAGGTGTCCTCAGTCTACACCTTCTCCCTGAACCATCTGATCTATCCCTATAATTCCAACCTTCACATCGGTCCTGAGAAGTCTTAAATCCTATTCTCTAACTTTCTTTTGTTCCTAAACTTCAGACATTTATTTCTAGTTGCCTTCTAAATACTTCCATTTCTAGATGTCCCATAGGCACTGCAGACTCAACATGTCCAAGCCTGAGATCATCTTGCCTCCCTCCCTCTGCTCCTCCTCTTGTGATTCCCATTTGGACTAATAGCGTTACCACTTACCCAGGGGTGGGGGGCAAGCCGGAAATGTGGAATCATTTGGATAATTCCCATACCTTACATTCATAACCAACATTGGATGAATCTACCTCCATAATGTCTCTCAAATCCACCCTCTTTTCTTCTCTTCCCCTGTGCTAGCACGGTGTTGTAGAAAGAACCAGAGTTTGCCTTTAATAGCTGTGATCTTAATATGGATAGTAAGTCAGGTTATTTAATAAAGCTGAACCTGTTTCCTCATCCCTAAAATGAGGGTTTAACATCTGCTTCACATGGGTGATGTGAGGTTTAATTTAAATGCCATTCCATGAAAAACCATCTTTCACAAAGTAGATGCTCAGTAGCTCCATGTTGTCTGTTACCTATCTGCTCCTACACTCTCTTGACTTGCAACCCATCTTCCACAATGTGCCAGTTATCTTTCTAAAACTCAAATATCATTTCTCTACTCAAAAACCTTTGATAGGGCTTCCCTGGTGGCCTAGTGGTTGAGAGTCCGCCTGCCGATGCAGGGGACACGGGTTTGTGCCCCGGTCCGGGAGGATCCCACATGCTGTGGAGCGGCTGGGTCCGTGAGCCATGGCCCCTGGGCCTGCGTGTCTGGAGCCTGTGCTCTGCGGCGGGAGAGGCCACAGCAGTGAGAGGCCCGCGTATCGCAAAACAAAAACAAAAACAAAAACCAAAACCTTTGATAGCTCCCCAGTGCCTACAAAATAAGTTCTTATTTCTTGGTATGGTATTCAAGGCTCTTTAAAACCTGTCAACATTCCTTTCCTATTCTCCACTATGCCCCCATACTCCAGTTATGCCAGGTAATAAATAGGTGGCTCCCCAAATGGCCTAGGCACTGTCAGGCTTCCTGGCCCTTGTTGTTTACACTGAAACTTCTGCATGGAAAGACCTTTTCCTCCTTCACCTGCACAGTCCTGCTCATCCCTCAAGGTCCAGATCAAATGTTACTAACCCTGTAAAGCCTTCCCCAAACTTCTTGATTTTGCTTATGCTGCTGGTATGACACAACATACCATCTTATTGACAGAAGAAAATCTCCCTTGCTCCACTGTTATGCCTTCGTGTTTTATACATCTTTGTCTTCCTAGAATTGAGCAAAGTCCCTAGCACACTATGGATCTTCAACAAAGAATCACCAAGTTACATTTCTAGGAATACCCCTGTTCCCTAAAGTATCTCTCTCACTGGATTATAGCACCTAAAAATACAGGTACTAAAGATTTTTGATCTTCAAGATTTCTTCTATTAATATGTTAACAGATTTAGAGGAATTATTTTATCAGCTCATTCCAAATATGATAACTATGAGATTAGACCCTTCAAAACCCTTAGATCCAACAATTTGACTTCCAGGTATTTACCATATAAGTGTATTCACGTACCTACAAGGTAACATATTCACAGTCATTCATTGCATTGTTAGTAATAGTAACACTGGAAACAACCTAAATGTGCATCAACAGGGAACTGGTTAGGTAAATTAGGGTATATTCATATGATGGAATATTATGCAATGTAGAAAAAAGAAATGAGGGTGTGCTTTAAGTATTGATATGGAATGATCTTTAAGATGTAATATTAACTAAAAGAAGCAAGCTGTAGAACAGCGTTTATAGTATGGTACTATTTATGCTTAAAAGGGAACATATATATGTATGTTTTTTCAGGCACAAAATATTTCTGGAAGGATATATAAGAAACCGGTAAGACTGATTTAGCTCCCTCTAGGGAGATGAAGCAGGTGCTGGGCAAAAGAAGCAAGAGGGATACTTCCCACTATATATCTTTTTATATATTTTGAATTTTGAATCATACAAATATGTACATTTTACCTAATGCATATGATATATTGATATATGATTATGAATATATTATCTATTGAAACAATGCATTTAAAAATAAAAAGCCTCTCAAGGAACTTGGCATAGACTAGGCATGTGTGTGTTTTGCGCCAGGAGGAATACCAGGAGAGGGGGGAGTTCTTCTGTTTCTGAAGAAATCCAGTTGTTATAATGAGGCTGGTGCCTATAGGGAGGAAAGGATCCATGTGGTGGCAGAGGAAGGGAGGAAAAAGCTATCTGAGGAATAACTCAAGAAGGAAAGTACGCAGGAATATTTTGAGGCCAGGTCTCCTTGCCTGGAAAATGAAGGAAGACAGGAAACAATGCCACACGGCTGAATGTATCACAAGCATTTAAAAAAAAAATTGCATACCCTTTGACCAAGATATGGATTGATCTGCAAGATAATGTTGGGGGTGGGGCAAGGTGCAGAATAATATGTATAGTATGATACCATTTGTAAAAAGCGGAAATAATATCGACATATATTTGCTAATATATGCATAAAATATCTCTAGAAGGTTATACAAAATATCAGTGACATGTCTCTGGGGAGCAAAATTTCCTAGGAATTTAAGAAATAATTGAACAAGTGCATAAGAATATGTAGTAACCAAATTGAAGACTGGTTAAATAAACTGTGATACCTCATACAATGGAATCTTAAAATGGCAAAATGGCAGCCATTAAAATGACATCATGCATGCCCACATTAAATCATATTAACAGCTGTTCATAAATGGGAAATATAGGCTACCAAAGAATAGGAATACTATGATCCTATTTTTGTTCAATTTTATATATACATATAGAGTATATATATGGGTTTAAATCATGGATATATATTAAATATGGATATATGGTTCCCTCTAATATTGGGATCTTGATTTTCTTCTTGATACTCTACTTACCTGGTTTTTCTTTAATAATTAGAAATAAAGTTAAATATTAAAGAAACAAAACAGTAACCTAAATAACAGGGCATTTTCTCTTTGCTGCCCTCCTTATCCACCAAGAACACTTCTCCTCATGGTGTCACACTCCCAGAACCCATCCCCCTCCATGCCCTCAACTCCTTCTGCCCAAAGGAGCATTGGTCCAAGGCCTTTACCAAGAAGTCCCTGGGAGCACAGACAGCAATAGGCAAGAGGATTAAGGTTCCTAAAAACAATTCCAATTGTAAATCAACTATACGCCAATTAAAACAACAACAGCAACAACAAAACAAACCACTTCCATCACCTGACACCACAGGGTAAGGAAGTGTGTGTGTGGAGGAACCAGGGATGCTTCTTGCTCCCCATCCCACAGGTGTGAGGGTGAGGGAGGTTAAGCCTTTTCTCTAACCCACCACCATTTCTCCCAAGGTGATTATTTGGGAAAAGTCAGGATGGAGAGCAGACCAGGAGAGAGAGGGTTTATTCTTTAAAATTTAAACATTTTGTGTCTCCTTGAGAAGAGGCTGATGGAAAAGTACAGCATAATAATAATTCTCATTAATAATAAATAGATAATACCTTATTGGATGTTACCTGTCCAGGACAGGGACTCCAGTGGTGGTGAGGTAGAGGACAGAGTAGTCTGTCTGGCTACTTTAATTATGGTGTGCATGTCTTTCTGAATGTCATCAGTAGATATCAATGACAAGGGAGATGGTCCATTTCCTGTTCCTGCCATAAAAAAGCAGGGGCTACTTGGATAGTGTCTATGTTGGCTTCTGGGGAGGACAAAATTTCCTGCTCAGCTCCGTCTCTGCGTCTCGAAGAAGCTCAGCCACCAAGTGTTCCAGGGTGGTGGGGGAGAGAGGTGCAGCCTCTCGGGCAGAGTAAGAGCCCAAGGGAAGAGAACCCCTTAAATCAGGGAGCCGCCTGAGCAGCACATAAAACGGCTCTGACTGGCTCTAGTTTGGGAGATCTGCGTCTTATGATTCTCCCCCCCATTATAAAGATTTTCCTCCTTCAAAAACCAATCGGAGAACCACCCTTATTCTACAGATTAGGGAGCCCTGATAACGTACACACCCAACACATACGCAAGTATCTGCGCACCAGTAACACACGAGCATCACACACGCCGAAACACAGATCGACCACACACAGACCCAAGAACACTGGGACTCTAGGCAGGCTGTTCTATACCCACGCATCCCCTAATATACACACGAGGACAGGGGAGAGAAGGAGGGTTAGGATGGGCGGTGCGCACACGGCCCTGCACTCAGACACGCGCACCAAGAAACACTCCGCACCCACCTGCGCTCCCAATTAAGTATGCACCTTGGACAGGCACCATCCCGAGGACCGACCTGCCCAAACGCCTTGCCGGTAGGACGGCACGTTACCGCCCGAGCGCGGCGAACCCAAAGCCCCAAATCTAAAGGAAAAGGCATCGCAGGCCAGTAAGCGAGGAGAGAAGGGAGATGCGATGCGCTCCTTGGGGAAGGGGACTCGGAAGCTAGTGGGAACGACAGTGAGAGTGCCTGTCCTCTGCCCCTGTCCCGCGAGCCTTACTGATCCTGGTGCTGCGGCTGGTGGCTGTGTGGCGTCTCCCTGCCCTGCGCCGCGGCCTCACTGAGGTGGTGCCGGACGCCCCCGCCAAGGAGGGGGCTCCGGCTCAGGTGACCCCAGCCTCCCCGCCGGCAGTAACTGCCGGCCCCGCTCAGCGAATTCTGCAGAGCCTTGATGGAGCGCATCCCCCCAGCGCGCCGCCCGCTCGGCCAGAGCTCCCAGGGCTTCTGAGCGGTGGTCGGAGGGAGGGACGGAGGAAACGCGGACCACGTGGGGCGAGCTAAGCAACGGAGTGCTGGACCTGCGGGGTGGAGAGGTGAGGCCCGGTAGGTGGGGTGGAGCAGGAGGTGGGGCCGGTCCCTACAAGGCTCGGTACACTGCCAGGTGCCCCCAATCCCCGCCTAGACAAGGCGTCGATGTGGAGTGCACGCGATAGGGAACACAGAGCGCAGGGTGTCTAGTGGCTGGTGAGAAGTGGGCGGTGCCTGAGAGTTGGGATGGACAATGCCCAGGCCCAATCATTGAGAAAGTAAAAAGCTTGGGGGCGGAGATAAAACGAGGCTACCCAATGAAAGCAAGGCGGTGGGCCGCCCACAAAATCCGGCGGATTCCTCCGCGTTCCGGCCAGCTGCGGCCCGCCGTGCGTGCAAGCGCCGAGGGCGGGAAAGCTGAGGTGGGGCAGTTGTGAAGGCGGAGGACGCGGCGGCGTCAGAACGATGGAATTCTCGGCAAGAGGGGAAAGCGGTACCTCTCTACACTCGGATAAGAATGAGCCCTGCTCAAGAGGTCTCTTAGTGACCTCCTATATTCGAAGTCCAAAACCGGCCTTCAGTACCCGGCCTCGTAGCGCGGCGTGGAGGCCCAACGAATGCCTCGTTTCCAGCACGCGGTGTTGGTGAGTGAGGAGTCATATGGCAGGAAATTACCCCGACCAGAAACAGCGCCCAGGCACTTCCGTGAGATCATGAGGCGGGGGAAAGGTCATTCTGGGCTGCTAGGGTGCCTGGGTTCTCGTTTTACCTCTGCCAATTATTTGGTGTCTGTTTTAAGACTTAGGTGTCCTTAACTCTGAGCCCTTAAACATTTTATAAGACGTTAGGTGCCCCCTAAATTTTAGCTAATTTAATTGCTTGCCTCTGTATTCCTCACAGGCAGAAAAGATGTACAAAAAGAATTTTGAAAACTAAGCACATTCGGGAAGTTTATCATTTGCAACTAGGAGAACATTCACCTATTTCTTCACAGCATCTGTATTTAGTAGGAGCTCATGGAAATAATAGCTGTTATGGTTTGTCAACCACTTTATATAGTCTGTCTCTCCCTCTTACCAGAGACCTAAAGAATAGTTATTACTAGTCCCATTTTGAAGATGAGGAAACTAAGACTCAGAAATTAAGACTTTTTCTTTTTTTAATATTTATTTATTTATTGGATGCATCAGGTCTTAGTTGCAGCATGTGGGATCTTTTGTTGCAGTGCTCGGGCTTCTCTCTAGTTGTGGCGCAGGGGCTCAATTGTCCCCCAGCATGTGGGATCTTAGTTTTGCCACCAGGGATCCAACCAGCGTCCTCTGCACTGCAAGATGGATTCTTAACCAGTGGACGACCGGGGAAGTCCCAAGACTTTTTGAATAAGATAACCCATCTAATAAGTACCAGAGTCAGGAATCAGACCCAAGTCTCTGACTACAAGGCTCTCTCCATCATGCAGCTCATCCCAAAATTAACCACTGAATTATTCCAGTTGTTCCTAAAGGAAGCATTTACGTTGAAGCAGTGTAATACGGTACTGAGAATTGGCTAGAGGCTGGCTGTATCACAAAATGTCACTTCCTTTTCTTTTTGTTTTTGGATTAAAATGAGCATCAAGGGTAACTGTGGGAAAAGAAATATGAAAACGATACTCTGGTGTGTTCTGTGGAAAGGCAGTTCTCCTTTGGCTTGGTTAAGGTCAGAGGGTTTATTTAGTTTGAAACCAGGTAGAGTGACCTTCCTTTTGTTTTTGTTTGTTTTTCCCTTCTGTACTTATTCCTTATCTGCCCTATCCATTCTCCTATAGGTAGGACTCTAATTCAGGGACTCCCGCTTACCCTGGCTGCCTTATTAATGGCTTTGCCCATTACTTCTTTAAGAAAGTTCTGGGTCTTAATACTTAGTATAAATGCGAGCCAGCATTAACTTTTCCAAATGTAGTAGGCTAATCTGATCCTTGTTTCATAGGAATGTTATATCTCTGAAGTTTTTTGAGCTGTCACGAGAAAGATAACATGTGTTAGGGAATTTCTAAACATTACCCAGGTGTTTGCTTCCTTTTATTTCCTACCCCTGCCTTTTTGAATTAGCTTTAATTATAATCAGTAACAAGTTCCTCACTCTTTTTCTTCCCAGTTCTCTCTGATAGTAGGAACTGGTTGGGCAGTGAAAAAAGTCAGCCTTTAGAAGGGGAGGTTCTTTGCATAGAGATCTAGCACTTTGACCTTTGGACTGATTCTTCTTCCACTATAACATTGCTACTTTTGTATGAGGATGGAGGGTGAACCGGTGACTTGGGAGGCCCACAGCATTGTGTAAAGTATAATATATTTAAGAACAAGTTTGTCACCCCACGTGGTTAGAGTTTGGCAGTGTCAAGTTCTTTTTTTTATTTCTGATTTGAAAAGGTCCTATCCAGTTAGGTCTTTGCAAAAGTACGAGCCAGCTGTGACATGGCCAGCTAAACCCGAAGCTTTTCATAAGCTTTCAGGTATCTCTAATAGTAGGTTTTTAGGCCAGTCCCTTGTTGTGCTAGAGTTTTGTGGTGTATGGGGAAGGATTTTGGATTTTTAAATCAGAAAAGCTATATCCTCTGTGGTACAAAATTGGAAACTTGATGCTTATGTTTGGAGGATATATATTTGTTATGATTTACAGATTATCATTTGTTCTACTCTTTAGACTGTAGTTAGAATCTTAATTAGTCAGAGTGAAAGATTATTTCACATAAGTTATTTTTTTCATTAGCGTTTGTTCTGCAAAAGTTACTATTGGTGCACATTCCTTCCTGCCTTAGTTTCTCCATTTGTAAAAGATAATCTTGTCTTTTACTGGGTAAAATATAAGTACTGGGAGCTCTGACATAATCATCTTCAGTTCATTCAATGAATATTTATTCATTGGCCTATAGTGTGCCAGGCCCAGTGCTAGGAAATACAGAAATTGAAATTAAAAACAAAAAACCAGTTTCTGATTATTGGAAGAAATGAGAAGGCCAGTGTTTAAAATTCCTAATGAAAAATGCTGAAGTGAAGAGATACGGAAAAGGAAGTAAAAAGAACGGGCATCTAACTAGGCTTGGGGTGAAGGGTAGCTAAGATAAAGGGGGAGGGGCATCAAGGGAGGTTGGGGGATTGGAGCCAACTCTTTTTCTTTTTGTTTTTCCCATTCGTGGATGGGATTTTTAAACCCACTTTTTTTTTTTTTAATTTATTGTATGTATTTATTTTTGGCAGCATTGGGTCTTCGTTGCTGCACGCGGGCTTTCTCTAGCTGCGGTGAGCGGGGGCTACTCTTTGTTGTGGTGCGCAGGCTTCTCATTGTGGTGGCTTCTCTTTTTGTGGAGCATGGGCTCTAGACATGCAAGCTTCACTAGTTGTGGCACGTGGGCTTCAGTAGTTGTGGCTCGCAGGCTCTAGAGTGCAGGCTCAGTAGTTGTGGTGCACGAGCTTAGTTGTTCTGCGGCATGTGGGATCTTCCCGGACTAGGGCTCGAACCCGTGTCCCCTGCATTGGCAGGCGGATTCTTAACCACTGCGCCACCAGGGAAGCCCTAAACCCACTTTTATTCGTTAATTGTAAGTAGTACAGATATTCCAAAAATATAAACAGACACTTAATGGTGTCCTACATTTCAAGTGTTTTTTTTTTTCTTTTTTTGCGGTACGCGGGCCTCTCACTGTTGTGGCTCCGGACGCGCAGGCTCAGCGGCCATGGCTCACGCGCCCAGCCGCTCCGCGGCACGTGGGATCTTCCCGGACCAGGGCACGAACCCGCGTCCCCTGCATCGGCAGGTGGACTCTCAACCGCTGCGCCACCAGGGAAGCCCTCAAGTGTTTTTTAAAAAAAATTTTTATTTATTATTTATTTTTATTTTTGGCTGCGTTGGGTCTTTGTTGCTGTGCGCAGGCTTCTCACTGCAGTGGCTTCTCTTGTTGCGGAGCACGGGCTCTAGGCGTGCGGGCTTCAGTAGTTGTGGCCCGCGGGCTCAGTAGTTGTGGCCCGCGAGCTCTCGAGCGCAAGCTCAGTAGTTGTGGTGCACGGGCTTAGTTGCTCCGCGGCATGTGGGATCTTCCCTGGGCCAGGGCTCGAACCCGTGCCCCTGCATTGGCAGGCGGATTCTTAACCACTGCGCCACCAGGGAAGCCCCTCAAGTTTTTGAATACAACAAGTTTATCAAACCATGAACCTGTGAGCAAGGTAGTCAGAACCCCACAGCCCAGTCACGTTGGGAAGCAGATATCCCCCACCCTCCAAACGGTATCTCGAAGGGGGTTACGTGGCACAACATGGAACATGTAAAATCTGAGATACTGCAAGCAAAGAAGCTCACGGGGCGCAAAGAGGAGGGTCTGCTCCAGGGGCAAGCCCCACAGCAGTAAAGGAATGGTACAGGGGGCCAAACCCCTGCATTCCCTCCCCTGCTTGAATGCAAGTATTTACCAGTATTAAAATAAAAGGACAGGGCTTCCCTGGTGGCGCAGTGCTTGAGAGTCCGCCTGCCGATGCAGGAGACGCGGGTTCGTGCCCCGTTTCGGGAAGATCCCACATGCCGCGGAGCGGCTGGGCCCGTGAGCCATGGCTGCTGAGCCTGCGCGTCCGGAGCCTGTGCTCCGCAAATGGGAGAGGCCACAACAGTGAGAGGCCCACATAACGCAAGAAAAAAAAAGATAAAAGGACAAAACTAAAACACCATTTTACAAAAAAGGCGACTGAAGGGTAGTAGTGGCAAGTAACCGACTGAAGACCTGAAGGGGAAAACAGGCTTACTTTCCGCAGACACTTGACCTGTCTGGGACATGGGATACAGGACAGCCTTACGGGGGGTTGCCTTACTGAATGAGGCCTCATGAACAGGGTTAGGGGTAGCAAAACAGAACGAAATCCATTTCCCAGGGAATGACTGCCTTTAGACTTCCCATGCTTTTTGCACAGAGAAGTTTCTGGGCCACTGTTAACAGAGGTGAATTTATAAAATGGTCAAAATCTTTGGGAGGCAGGAGGGAATTAAACAGAAGGTCCCAGGTTAACTGAAGGCAAATTTACTCAACCTCGCTATAGTGAGGGACCCATGGACCTACAGAGTGTCCCCTCTACAGTGTGCAGAGTGGAAACTCTGACCCTTTCCAAATTGGTCCTGTGTCCAAAGCTCCCCCTATGAGAGGGACACGAACATCAGGCTTTTGATTTAGAAGCCCAATCAGAGAGACACACTGTGTCCCTGAAGAGGCACCTTA